ATGGCTGCTTGCGTTTTAGGATGGCGTTAGTTATGGTCACCATGTGAACAGGGGCTGGGAGCAAAGGATAACCGTCACACACATCTCTGCAGGGCACCCGCAGAAGTATCTCTGTGCAAAAAAATTACTTTCCCATCCACAAAAACAGCACTGCTAAATCTCCTAAGAGACCATTCTGTATCTATACATTAATTCTGATCTTGTCTGCTTGCGTTTTAGGATGGCGTTAGTTATGGTCACCATGTGAACAGGGGCTGGGAGCAAAGGATAACCGTCACACACATCTCTGCAGGGCACCCGCAGAAGTATCTCTGTGCAAAAAAATTACTTTCCCATCCACAAAAACAGCACTGCTAAATCTCCTAAGAGACCATTCTGTATCTATACATTAATTCTGATCTTGTGCTAGGTTACCTTTATTAATGCTCAATGTACGCTGATATCAGTGAAGCATAATCTGGCTCATTAAATAGCTATAAGTTTGGCCTCTTTTTGCATACAGTTTTTGTACATTGCATATTTTGTAATCACATGCTGCTCCTGGAATTAATGTCTTCAGATTTTCTAAATGCTTGCTGGAAATAAATCCTCTGAATTCTTTCAGCAAGTTTATTTCGGATCGAGAAAGCAGAAGAAGTCTCACAAACAGCCACCTGGAGAAGAAGAAATGCGATGAATATGTAAGTCTCTTGCTGTTCTTCTCCCTATCAAAATGAACTATATGTTCATATATGAAGGGCCTTTAGACATAGTCTTCAAAAATGCTGGGCACAAAACCAAAAAACCAAACCAAAACCCCAAACCCAGGCATTTTGCTCGAGTTGAGGCAAGGAAATCTCTCTGGCCTGTGTTAGGCAGGAAGTCCTGGTGGTTCCTTATGGCCTTACAATATATAAATCATGTGCCTAAGATGTTTCACAGGTGCAGTGAAAGATGAGGCTTAAAATTGAAAGTGTAGTATGAGCTGTGTATTGCCTATACCATTTACATCAGCTTACAAAATCTATAGGACAGCAATCAGAGTGTAGCTGTGACAGGGTTCGACAACGCTTTTTCCTCTTTCAAACCCGTTTTTACTAAGTTGTTTCCATAGCAGTAGTTATCTGATGTATCACGAAATTTGGAGTTTGACCCATAGATGCATTTCCCTGCCCTGTTCCAAGCTGTTGCCGACACATCTGTCTTTACTGCTCTAGATCCCAGGAACTACTTCACTGGGGATGTCCGTCTTCAACCTCAGCAATGCAATTATGGGCAGTGGGATTTTGGGTCTCGCTTTTGCCTTGGCCAACACGGGAATTTTTCTTTTTCTGTAAGTATTCGTGCGGTGAGTAGCTTATTTCTGTGCGGTTTCACTGCTTTTAAAGAATGCACATGCTGTCTGCAAGAGGAGATTGTAATCAAGTACAGAATTCAGGCCTGAAAATATTAGCTACAAGTTTTGGACATTTTTTTCAATATTTTTTTTTTTTTGAGTGGGAAAAGTCACTCCTTCTAATGTTAGAGAAAATTAAGTGCATGTTATTTACTACAGACCTGAGCCTAGCCAGGGATTTTTCCTATGGTCCACAAGTTACACATATATCGGAAATATTCAGTAGTAATAGCTGCAGTGGGATAGTACCTAGTTCTTTCTTGTATCACAGGAGCTCCAGAGCTTTCATCAAAGCATGGTGCAATAACTACCACTTTTTTTTAAACAAGAAAAAGAATATTTCTATTCCTTTATATGTTACATATAATATTTTCATCTCACTCCCACAGTTTCTTCAGTTTCTTATGTGAGAGTCCTTGAGAGCCAACATAAATATAGCCAAGATTTTAGCATAAAAAAAGGAACTGAGGTAGAGCAACTCCAGCAAAAAAGAGGCATTTTGTAAAGGAGAATTTTATAGTTTATAAATGAAACGGTGCCAGTGAATGAGTAAGACGCTGTGTTATTCTGTGTTATTCTGGATCACAGTATGAGACATTTCATTGTGAAAAGTGATTGTTAAGAAATCAGTTGGGAATTGTGTGCAAATTTCAGTGACAAATGTTCATTGAGGGAAGAAATACAATGAGAACTGTTCAACATGGTTATTGAGTTTTCAGATCGCTCTAAAGAGGTGTCACTTCTTGAATGTCAAATCTAAAATTCTAGAACTTTTGTAATTTCTTAGGTTTTTGGGGAATCTATAATACGAGCCCTGCATATAGCAAAGTGGATGGCCAAAGTGGTACATAAAGCCATCTGCTCTGGGGTTTTGTGCCAGGATAGCTACATCCATGCTGCCAACTTACAATTCGCTGTGGTTGGCTAAAATCTGGGAATAATCCAAGGAGTTAATCCATTTATGTTAAGAATGTACAAAGTCTCCTAATTGTGTTTTCACTAACCTAGGCTATAAAGTAGCTGAACTGTAATTTAGCTATTTCTTATCCAGAAGGACTGATTTCATTTTATTTTTGCTGCTTTTTTTACGCAGTACTCTAACCTGTATGTGATACTCCTCCCATGCTCTGACATGCACACCTCTGAGGGCACAGACTGGTGGCTGCAAAAACTTCTGTAACCAGAAAAAATTAAAAAAGCTACCTCTCTTCAGCCTGGTTACCTCTTCTGTGATAATCGTGTCTCAGCCAGAGAGCACCCTCATTTGTGTTCATATTACTGTGTTTGGTTTTCTATAATCGTCGTCTTCTCATTCTTTCAGCAGTTTTTCATGAGAGTTAAGTGAAATGTGAAATGTGTTTGCTCTAAAGGATGTAAAAAGGCAGTTTCTTTTAAGTGAAGTAGATGACACCACTGAATGTGAACACCAGAGAAACTTCTAACATTATATGATGGTGACTGGGCTCATTTTGGCCTGAGTAAGTGAGTGTGTGGGTCTGCACCACCACATTGCACCAGAAACTGCCACACTGGAATGTAGAGACTTTATACAGTAGATAATAACATATTCTTTACAAAATTAACTGTATCTATTTAAAAGTGAATAATTGTTTTTGTTAGCTTTATAATGCCTTTAGATCTGTTGGCTTGGAGCTAGACCAGCCTGCTGAGATCAAAGGTAAGGAAGCTCTCAGGACTTAACTGGCCAGGCCACCAGAGCTTTACCCTCTGAAGTCTGGAGATACAGGATACTAACGTGGTCTCTGTAGTTATTCCTGAAAGTTGAACTGCTTTAAGTGTTTTTTATCATGCAATAATCTCAGAGTTAAACCTAGTTCACTAGTTTTACATTTTTTCTCACGCTCTCATTCAGTGCATTTTTCCCATAAATGCATAGTTCTGCTATTGCTGCCACAGGTAAATCTTAGATCCATTTCTGCTTTACAAGCAGTTAAAGATGGGGTCCCAGCAATAGATTCACTGCTTTTTGCACATGAGGAAGCACTTACAGTCACTGCTTTTGAGTAGCACAATTCTGGAAAAGTTTCTAGGTTGCTTTATCCTGTATTGGCATCCACCATCTCTGAAAAGTGGAAAGCAGAGGGGGAAAATTAAAGAAGCATTTTCAGAGCTAATAAAGCAGACCCAGCCTGATTTCCACTCTTACTACTTTTATGTTCCTGCACTGTGAAGCATGCACTGCCATGCACACCTGCATCAGTTCAAATCCTATATTCTTGGCATAAAACATGCAAAGTAAACATGGCAATGAGTGTATACTCTCACATCCTATTTGCATAACTTAGTGACATAGCAAAGTGTCATGCTTTCTAGGCAGAACTTAATTACTTAAAGAACTTAATCCCAGTATTGTTGATAATTAAAGCCTAGACCTTTCCTGCATGTGAAAAGAGAGAAAACCTTGCTGCAGAATGGTGGCACAAAAGGCTTGAGAAGTAAGAGATGGGCCAGGCTGCCTAGGGCTGGCAGGAGCACTTGTTGCTAGCTCAGCCTGCCTGTGATTTCATCCTGGAGACCCAGGACTGGAGTGACAGATCACAATTTAGCCTGGCAAACCCCATGCTCTGCCATGCTCTTCTGCACCCAACGCCCTATGGGGATTCAGAGCAGTTCTGTGCAATAAGGCAGGTGGCTACACAAGCCTCACGGGCCTTCTGGCCTCAAACCCTGGGACAGAGGGCTTGGGACAGCATGTGTTTCAGCTGACCTGGTAATGTGGCAGCTGGGAGCAAACAGCTGTGGCACCACAGAAACAGTTCGCTCTTCCCAGCACTGTATCAGTCCCCTGCCCTAAACTGTTTATTCTGGATTTGCTGGAAGGAGGCGACTTCTGCATGTGCCAGTTGCTTGCATAGGTGCCAGCACTTCTTTAAAAGCTGGCAAAATTAAAAAGTAGGGGAGTGCTTTTGGGACTGCAGCACAAGCTCCCCTGCTTCTGTTATGAATTTGTGCAGAGCGAGTGGCATGGACATTTTCACTCCTTTCCAAGGGGTGGTTCTGGCACGAATATCCCTGTCCATACCACAGTCCTAACACAAACAAGTTTTTCATATAGCACTAATGAAAATGCCAAGCGTCTCTGTAAGAGTCCTATGGGGAGCTAAGGACAACAGATCAGATAAAAACCTGGCTGCTCGGGAGTGTTATTTTTACTGCTGCAAAGACTCCATGAGCTCAGTGCCTGAAAACCGGGAGCTTTTAATATTAAAATAGGCTTGATTCTGGCATAGGGAGCCAGGGCCATTTGGGGTTGGGAGTGAGTCAGCCCCACAGCCGAGTGCTGAGCACCGTGCCTCCAGACAGAGAGGGGCGTAGCATCTCTGCAGGGAGCGCGGGCTTAGCAAATCTGTGAAAAATGGAGCAGCCAGTACCAATGTCCCTTAACACCCTTTGGGCTGTACAAAGAGTGTGTTGTTATTGTCAACCATCATTCTCTGTTGGCAAAAAAGCAGTTCCTCCTATCACTTCTTTATGTTTCTCCCTGCTCCTCTGACCCCAAGAAACCTGTGGGTCATTATTTGGTGCTAACGTATTTCTAGTCTAAAATAAGAATAAAGGGGAAGGAAGGGGCTTCTCATCCTGTTCTTTCTATGTATTCCTATGAAAAAGATGTGTTGCTGCCTATCTATGACAGCAGCTTGTTTTCTGTTAAAATTTAGGCTTGTTTTTCTCCATGTCCCAAGGGTAGTTGTCATAATAAAGAGAGAAATTGCCAACAGATTGTCTGAGTGCTCTTCACACACATCATGAAAACATCATCAGGTCTTTGTGTGTCAGGGTGTTGGAGAGGAAGGCACACATGGTGCTTGGCTTAAAGACATTGAACAATGAGCAAATGTGTTTTTATGCACTTAGCCCCCAGCACTGGCTTATTATCATTTGTGCCAGCAAGTTCCCTACA